TAGAATAAAAGCATAGAATCGAAGCATGTTGGAGTGTGGAAATTGTTTGAAGTTACATAAGTATTGCTTCTAATTGCCTCCCAAAAATACTTTTTGAGAAGCTAGGGAATAGCAAGATTGATGGCTATTTAATTTCTTGTGGAGTGGATTCATGATAAATCCTTGTGAGTTGTGAACCATATCTATCTCTATGTGAAGGGAAATGTAAAAGCTTATGTTGATTATTTAATTTATGGTGGGACAAATGTTAATATGGTGGAGTTTTAAGGAAGCGATGATGAAGGCACATAAAATGATGAACTTGAAATGATGAAATATTTCCGGAGAATCCTAGTGAAGAAAACACAAAGACAGAAATGTATAACTACAGAGAACTGAGAAGTCCACATATGAGATATGTTGTCAAAATCATGTATGGAGAATGGTAAAATAGCTTCAGCTCCAAAGAAACTTCACAAACCGAAACGTGACAATTAATATTGACGGGGTTGAATCCTGACGCTGGGGTTGGACCCTTTTCTACTACAGCCCACAATAAATTTCAGATCTTCTTCTACGTCGGCTCAATGTTCATGTCGGGCCTTTTTCTACTTCGGCCCAATGTTCATGTCAGAGCCTTTCTTTTTTGGCCCAACTCCCAATTTCAATTTGTGTCCCTTTCTGGTCTCTCGGTCTCATCATATACACTCTTAGGCCTCTACTACAAGGCTTGCTCAATAAATTAGGAGACCTAGTGCAAGTCACACGAAAAATAGGTTTTATATTAAATCAACACAATACCAAAAATCAACCTTAAAATCAACACAATACCAAAAAGAAAACTACGAACAAATGTAAGATTGAGAAATGATCACTTTTTCGAACTTGAACAAATAAAACTAGTACAAAATCTAAAACCGGAAATGAACAAATGAAAATAGAATAAGAAAAAGTGAATTTTTACCTTTGGTTGGATAACCTGAATAGTTGGATCATTCAGGGAAATAAAGTAATGAACTGTTTTCAAAAATAACTACCCTATATACACACTACAAAGATTTTACAAAAAAATGGGCTTTATATTTTTGGAAGCCCTTTTTTTCCGTAATTATCATGCAATAAAAACCAATATTTTTAGAATTCGCATAGTAGGAATCGAGCAACTGGCTTATTTACTACGGAGGAAAACTAAGGATGTGTTTACTTCACTGCTAAAGTCACAGTTGGGTTAGTAAGACAGGTGAAGTAAACACGCACACTGCTTAAAAAGCCGCTTACTAACCGAAAGAGGTGCTTAAAGTGCCGCTTATTAAGCATACCACCCCCCATGTATTAATTAAGCGGCACTTTAAGCTTTTTCAGTTTCCGAATTTACCCCTTGCCCTTAACCTATTGTTATCCCTGCCCCACCTCGACCCCAACCCCACCCCACCCCGACCCTACCCCCAACCCCACCCCACCCCTACCCCACCTACCCGACCCCACCCCGACCCCACCCCGACCCTACCTAACCGACCCCCACCATACCCTTACCTACCCCGACCCTACCCCTACCTACCCGACCCCCCTACCACTACCCCGACCACACCCTACCCCTACCTTACCTGTCCGACCCCACCCTACACGTACCCCCCACCTTACCCCTACCCTACCCCATTACCAGACACCCCCTACCCTACCTAACTGACCCCAACCCTACCCTTACCCCGACCCCACCCCTACCCTACCCCTACCCGACCCCACCTTACCCCTACCCCTACCCTGACCCAACCCTACCCTACCCTACCCCGTCCTACCCCTACCCGACCCCACCCTAACCACTACCCTACCTACCCAATCCCACCCCTACCCTACTTACCCGACCACACACCTACCCTTACCCTACCTACCCCACCCCTTACCCACATACCTGACCCTACCCCTACTCTACCCCGCCTCAACCCCCACCCTACCTACCTGAACCCACCCTACCACTACCCGGGTTGGGTAGGGTAGGGGTAGGGGCGGGGTTGGGGTAAGGTGGGGTCGGGGTGGGGTCGATGTGGTAAGGGCCTATGGGGGTAGGGGCCTATGGGGTCGGGGGTAGGGTTGTGGTAGGGTGGGGACAGGTTAGGGTGGGGTCGGGTAGGGGTAGGGTCGGGTAGGTAGGGTGGGGTCAGGTAGGTAGGGTAGGGGTAGGGGGTAGGGGTAGGCGGTGGGTGGGGTCGAGGTAAGGTAGGGTGGGTAAGGGGTTAGGGGTATGGGTACACATATTATATTATATACTTGTGTTCATGAATGTTTGTGTGTATATATATGTATAGGGTTATTTTGGACATTTTAATGTTAAGCGGTGTTTTAAACCGTTTGAAGTAAACACGGTCTTACAACATTGTTTATTTTATGCGCCGCTTATTAACACGGGTCTTAATAAGCACCGTTTAATAACCGGTGAAGTAAACATGTCCTAAAGCTTGTAAACGGCCATCATTTGCTAATTGATATTTTGCTTAATGTCATTTTAAGTTCTACATACATAAAACCAATACATGCAACCCCTTTTATATTACCTATAAGCGTTACACGATGTTTTTACTTGGATTGCAATTTGCTGGTATGGTCTGGTCTGGTCTAATTTGGTCTGGTCTGGTCTAATATGGTCTGATCTGGTCTGAGTTGGTCTAATCCGGTTTGGTTTCAATTCTTTGTATTTTTATAACTATCCAAGTCTTGTCTGGTCTGGTTTGTCTGGTAGGGAACAAATTACAGACCAAGTAAAAACATCCTTATATGTTAAAACCTCTAAAACACATTAAATCTTCACATAATAGAAACATTGAGAGATTGAGACAACTACATGAATGAAATAAAAATAACACACATTATGAATTTAATTATGAAATAATTACATAAATATGACCAAAATAAAGATGATATACAAAAATATGAATAGTTACTAGAGTAGTAATGAAATCATAATAATTCATGTTCAAGTTTTGAACTTAAGTGACCATAACACTACGTTGTAGTAATGAATAGTCATATTTATATAAATAAGTTTTATTTTAGTAATATTCTTGTAAAAAACCCATTTATTATTAATCAATTCATGTTGTTCTATTTGTGGGGTGCACATAATAATATTCAAAATTTATATTATACGTAGTATTGATCTAGAGAATAGTTTGGATCCTTGTCTTAATTTGCTCATTTATGATTTTTCCGTCCAATTTAAGAGAGGGACTATATCCGGATGAATAACAATAGTCATCTATAAAAAATGATCAAAGTAAAAAGTATGAACTAGTTATGAAATTGATCTGGAAGGATAAAAGTTGGAATTTATTCCTAAATGAGTCTTTTTTGTAACCATTTTTTATCTTAAGAGTTAGATTTCTCATTTTTTTATTTTGTGTACTAATTTGTGTAATAAATAAAATAACTACGGTAGAAGAATGTTTCTCTTTAAATTTGATAGAGCTCTATTTAATTAACTCTCTTCATATAATTTTTTTTAACAATAAAATATATTTTAGATATTAATATTCATAATTCTAGTGTTAATTACCAAAACAATGCTACAAACAGGTTCAGTTTTCTCCATTATAGAAAACGGGCCGGTGAGTAGAAAAAATCACACATCAAATAAGCACATAATATGGCATCTATTCACGAAATACGACATTAACTATTCATCGAAAAGGAGATAAAACAGGATTTTGTCACAAATTTGCAAATTTGTAATTGTAACAGTTTTGCCAATATAATTTGCAAATCGTAAACATATTGATACATCGTTCAATATGTTGGGAGAAAAAAACACCCAAGAATCCCAACAAATAAAATATACGCAAAAACCTTCCAGACTAGAACTAAATAGTACGAGAAAAGAACAAAAGAAAAAGTGAAAAACCTAAAGAAACGTTAAAGAATCAAGTAATATGAGACAAACCGCGCGATAAAACTATGCAAACATCGTTTTCCCTATTAAATAAGGGTTAGTTTGGAACTGCTTTTAAAAAGCACTTTTCAGCTTTTGGCTTTAAAAAAACACTAATTTTTCCAAACACTACAACTTTTATTTTTCTCGGCTTCCGCGTCAAAAGTGCTTTTACTTTTTCTATTACACAAAAAGCACTTATTTTACCAAACACTACCCACTTTTACTTTTTAAAATCATTTTTTTCTCAAACACTGTCAACTTTTATTTAATCACTTTTCACCATTTCATTAAAAAAACACTTTTTTAAAAGTAGAAGCTGTTGCAAACAGACCTTAAGGCTTTGTTTGCAACCACTTAAGAAAAGTGATTTTGGCTTTTTTTAAGAAAAAAGCACTTTACCAAACACTACTAACTTTTACTTTCTCGGCTTCTGTGTAGAATCTACTTTTTACTTTTTCTATTACACAAAAAGCACTTATTTTACCAAACACTACCAACTTTTACTACTAATCACTTTTTATCAAAAAATGTTTTTATTTTAGCACAAGTGATTGCAAACAAAGCGTAAGAACGAATTGCTAATAATGATAAGAATGACCATACGAGTGTGATTATGTTTGAACACCACCCTTAAAGCACCATTAAGTATTGAAGTCGAAACAACCTTTGTGAAGATATTAATTTCACACTCAAACAACACAATTTTAATTTCCATATTTATCTATACAAGCTCATCAATATTATTTTTATCAATATGTGAAGAAATCCTTGAAATCTTCGAGTGTATTTCTAATCTTACGTACCCTACTTATGGGCTCAATACATAACTTGGAAACATTAGAAACTCACCCACATATGTAGATCAAGCATTCCAAGATTCTAATACTTTACATCTTGAATCTAATTTATAACACACATATTCAAATCATATCTAAAGTATTTTATGTCGCGTTTGGATGAGCATTTATGATAAATGATCCATTTATAGAATAGTGAATGATCTATTAATTTTATATATATATATAAAATGACAAAAAGAAAACTTATTTATCAATGGAAATAGTAACAAGAGATAAAACAATACAATAGTTTGAGGCCACACGGGGATGAGACATAGAATCGATTGGCCTCCAAGGACCAAACAAATTTGCTAATCTCGGAATTATGTAGACTAATCTAACAGCATTGCTGAATCACTACGCAAAAGCAAACTGAAAGAAAATAAATTGTCCAAACTAGAAAGGAAAAAATTAAATCAAGAATTCCGACATCACCAGCCACCGAAAAGGAGGAATAATTGATTTGACAAACCACCAACAAGGGAAATTCAGTCGAGCATAATCTTTCTGAATCGTTTATTTGACCAACCACCATAATTGAGATCCAGATGAGTGTTTTCTTCTTCCCAGTGCGAGACGCTGGTTCAGGTGGAGTGAGAGTAATTGAAGCCTAGGAACAACAAGGTTACCTTTGCTAATCATGAACAATGAAAATTCACCAAATTTATTATACCGATGAGAAACACACATCCGTCTAGACATTGCTAGGAGAACAACTTACCACACGTTCACCTGAAGCGGACAAAACTCTCGGCTGTCGAAGAAGCTGGAACAAAACCTTTAAAAATAGAAACTGGAACTGAGTAGCAACATAGAAAAATCTTTAATTCGATCCTTCACTCAAAGAATGTTATCATCTATCTAGAACCGGCTCTTAAATTACGTGTTACTTGTTAATGCTTATATTTTGTTAATGCTTTCCAATCAAGAAGATGAAAAGTGAGAATGAGTACATTAGTTTTATAAATCTATGTTTGCCTCGTCCTAAATTTAGGAATGACAACGAAACATTACTTTTATACACCTCTATATACATTCATATGTGACATTCATTTATTGGAAGTTGAAAAGTTAACTAATCATCTAACAAATGCACGCCACATATTAATGTACATAAAATTATGTACAAAAAGAAATGTATCCTCATATGACTCTTTGGAGGGTAAAGGTAAATTGAAATACTTTTTTTCTCATTTTTGTTCAATTTCTACTTAATTATATAGGCAAAATATTTATACTAGTGAGCAGTGCATCCACATCCTTCGAAAGTACGTAGGGTTGGTTTGCAACCACTTTTAAAAAAGCACTTCTCAGCTTTTGACTTTAAAAAAGCACTTATTTTCCCAAACACTACAACTTTTATTTTTCTCGGCTTCCGCGTCAAAAGTGCTTTTACTTTTTCTATTACACAAAAAGCACTTATTTTACCAAACACTACCCACTTTTACTTTTCAAAATCACTTTTTTCTCAAACACAATCAACTTTTATTTAATCACTTCTCCCCATTTCATTAAAAAAAGCACTTTTTTAAAAGCAGAAGCTGTTGCAAACAGACCCGTACTACCTCCGTGCCAAAAGTTTTGTTATTTTCAAAACTTTGACTAATAATATACTTTTATTAGAAATAATTTATAATACAAAAATTATATGAAAATATTCTTTCTTAAAAGAACTTTCATAAAAAAATAAAATTTATAACTTCAAAAATATTATACTACCTCTGTCCGTTTTTATTTAACCATCTTTGACTTTTCTAGTAAAGATGGCAAACTTTGATCCATTATTTTAACAAATATATTTATGTGAAACTTAATAAATTTATACTTATATGATAGTACTTTTAATAAAGAAAATTGTCATATCATTTTCATATTATCAATATTACCGTGTATAAATATATAATTAGTCAAAGTTACACAACATGGAAAACAATGTTTGACTAAATAAAAATTGACATATTGGGGTTATAGATGGAATATTACTTTTCACTGTTAATCCATTGGTAATATTTTTATCAATATTTTGTTAATATTGACATATTAGGGGTTGTTCCTGCTCGGTAATTTAAGTAAAATTGACATATTGGGGTTATAAATACTTGAAGTAATTTTGTTTGCAGTTGTAAAATGTTGAAGAATTTTTTACTTAATTTGATGGTGGACCGGTGGTAGACTAGTAGTAAACTATGTATTTTGTTTATTTATGAGATTGTCACTAATAACTTCATTTGTGAACTTTAGTCTTTTTGTTGACTCAGTTGTTTGTGATTTTTCTAATATACTTCAGTATATAAATATTAGATACTGTCATAACTTGTAAAGGAAACACTTTTGATCTACAAAAGATGAATAAGTTGAGAATGTATACATATTAAGAACAATTTAATGACTTTTATGTTATAGAAATTACACTGATATGATCTATTAATATCAAGCAGGCACTCGAACAGCTCTACTTCTAGCAAGGGATGGCCGGATGGGTACTCAAATAAAACATCAAATCACTACACACAACATAATGTACCATCAAATATACAACAAGCTTACCTCGACGAATTCCAACATCCACGCAGATTCTGGGACTCGGGCTAATCGAGGACATCTCAAAATCTCCTTATCCAACAGCATTTCTGAATCATCATCTAGCAAACATCTCTACAGTTGAAATCATCATCACTTCCACTAAACCAAACGCCCCTCCATCTTCTCTATACTTGAACGAAGGTTCGAAAATAGGGCGACCCACTCTCTTTTGGAATTTTGGATTATTATGTTTGGACACAGGGAATATATTCCCCTGTTTGTTAGCTTATGCCTTATGGTTTGCTCTGTTGGACCCGATTTACTTGGCTCCAATATTTTCTACTCTTAGGCCCTTAGATTTTCCTTTTAAATCTTTGGGTTCTGTAAATCCTTGAACTCTTTTAATAAACTAGGTAAGCACTCCCCGACGCTTACCCTGCCCAAAGGGTATTCTTTCGGGAAAAAAAAATATATTAATATCAAGTGTTTTTTGTCCAGGACCTCCAGAATGCTTAATACGGTTAGTAGCCAATTGCCACGAAATCTGTTTCCAATATGTGAAATTCCTCACCAAGTTTGCTGATTACTCTTCATGATCTCTTCGACAAGCACAAGCTAAATCCGGACTTTGCAGTGTACGAAAATCATTTTAAATATCGAGTCGTTTATGTTCAAACCATCAAACATTCAAACCTTTGAGTGTTTGACTGATGATGATGGTAAGCAAGCTTACAGTCTGGCAGTGGAGAACAAATATTTCATTTTTTTTCATATACCTCTTTTTCTTCTTCTTCAAGAAATTCCAGTTTGAAAAGCTACTACGTCAGAAAAAGTAGAAAATCGCCGACAGTCAACTTCGCTCAACAGCTTTCTATGCAGAGCCTAATAGAAAAGCTTTCCAAATCCCCTGAAACCACAAATCCATTATCAGCCCTTATCGACTCATTTGCAGCGTACAAATGTAACCCCACTCCAAGTGCTTACCAATATGACTTAAAGAAAATCACTAGGAACCCTGCAGTTATTTATTGATCCCTCACGTTCTTGATCATTTGCAGAAAGTTGACGACTTTGGTATTCCCGAAGTTTTGTTTACCTGATCAAGTTTTATGGTGATGTTGACGAACTACAATCTGCCATTGAGCTGTTCTTAAGAATTCCGAGTTTTAGATGCACCCCAACAGTGAGATCTTTGAACACGCTACTCTCAGTTCTTTGTAAGAATGAATGGGGTCTAAAGAATGTACCTGAAATCTTGAAAAAAATTCAATTGATGAATATCCATATAGATCAATCGTCGTATGAGTTGTTGATTAAGATTCTTTGTGATCTTGGAAAAGCTACTTATTCTGTTGAGATGTTTAATCACATGATGGAGTGTGGGTTGGACGTAGATGGAAAATTTTGTTCATTGATATTAACAACAATGTGTGAGAAAAAGGGGCTTGATGGGTTTGAAGTTGTGGGTTTCCTGAAAGAGACAAAGAAGTTGGGGTTTAGCCCAAAAAGACTAGACTTTTATTGTGTAATAAGGTTTCTGGCTTTAAAGGGTAAAGCAAAAGAAGCTGCAAATGTATTAAAGATGATGCACATTGATGAAATAATACCAGATATCGGATGCTATAATTTGGTTTTGGAAGGGTTAGTATTGGAAGGGAAGTATGAGAAGGCAGATCAAGTGTTTGATGAATTACTTATTTTGGGTTTGGTCCCAACTATGTTTACCTTCAATTGCTATATCAAAGGTTTGTGTAGGCAAAATAAGGTGGAAGAGGCAATACAGATGGTTTCTTCAATGGAACAGGTAGGGTTCATGCCTGATTTGGTCACTTACAATATTGTCATAGAGACTTTGTGTGAGAATGGAATGTTATACGGAGTATGTGGCAAGGGAAGTTCTTGTGAAAATGAAACTCCTAGGTGTGCGCATGAACTATCAAATCTATGAGCTTAAAATTAATAATTTGGTTAAAAATGGTGAAGTTGGTTAGGATCATCAGTTGATACATACATGACATTTTGAACAAGGATTTTGGTCCTCAATCTAACATATTTATGGGGCTTATGCGTAATATACATCATGGGATTTTGAATGGCTGCAGTTTTTTAGATTCAATTCATTATTTATATTTGAGGTATTGTGTTCATTTTTTACATTGAATGATTTTGTTGGCCATGTTGGACATGTAATACCAAATATTTTTGCTTATACAAGTATATCAATAGAACGTTTGAGTTGGAGGTTGAATGTTTTAAAGCTTGATTCTTCAATGTTGGCCAGCAGAAGAATATGACATATTCCTCCCAGCTCGAACCGTCAGGAAACTGGAAACCCGAATAAAATCGGAAGCCAGCCGATTTGCAAAATTGCGTGTTGGGTAGAATTTGGTCCAAGGTGCATTTTGAGAAAGTTTAGGGTGCATTCCAACTTACCAATGTGTGTTTTTGATACCTCGAGCTCTCTAGTTTATATTATACCTATCTTACACAGATTAAGTAAAATATAATACTTACTAATACATGTTGTATGACTTGTATCTATTATTGTACTGTCCTATTATGTATATGACATTCAAATATAAGTTAAAATGTTCATAACTTTTTTTGTTATATTATTTTTTTTTTTGGGGAAAACACATCAACTTCATTAGATAATGTCAAACTGGTTACAATCAGCTTTGAGGCTGTGTTTAAGAAAGCTGGGGGCATCTGCTAGCCAGAGAGCTGGCTCAATGTGTGAACAAGCAAACTTTGCACAACAATGAGCAGCCCGATTGGCTTCACGCCTCATAAAAACAAGCTTAAAAGAAATAAAAACTGCACTTAGTTCACTAATTTCATCCAAGATAGGGGAAATGATTGAGCGATCGGTCCGCCGTTGGTTCCAATGCATGAGCAGGTCCGAACAATCAACTTCGAAAATTACTTGAGTGAAACCCCTATTCACAGCAAAGGTGACAGCATCCCGCAGAGCCAAAGCTTCTATCGTCAAGGGGTTGGAGATCCCAACATAACTTCTACAAGCAGCCCCTCGGAAGCCCGCCCAGTCACGTGCAACAATCCCACTGCCTGCAATATTATCGGCCAGACACACAGCACCATCTGAATTAATCTTAACTACATCCACTGGCGGTCCATGCCAGGTACACTCCGGCCGAGGTTGCTGTGGCCCTAACCGAGTTGGGGGTAGCTCTATTGACAAGAGAAGATCTTGGACATACTCCATAGCCTTTGCTGGGTTATAACCACCCTCGCCATGAGTCCATTTGTTTCGTGATAGCCAGATCGAATGCATTACAGAGATAATTTTAGGCCTATCATCAGTGTAGTTTTTCATATTATAATAAGTGTAGTTTTTCATATTTATATTTGAACAAAGTTCTGTTATACAATTGAATATATACTATAGAAAGAAAATTAAATGTAAATATTTTATAGATGTACTAAATAAATTTGGAGTATTAAATAATACGGAGTATTATTGATTCAAAGAGTCTAAAATTATTTTTTAGAATATGATGAATATTTGAATATTAAATATTCAGATTTTTTTAAAAATATATATAATAATACGGAGTATATGTCTATTCCTATAAATTGTATATAAAGTTGCCTGTGCTTTCGGGTGTTGACCTGGTTGGCCCGCCAGGTCCGGATTCACCTGATGGGTTCAGGTTAATCTGTGACTCGATCATTCATCCGGGTCACTTTTCCGTCCGGTTTTTACAACATAGAATTGAATATATCTATGGTGAAACATCCCACTTTTGTAAGATGCATGGTGAAGGGTCCCACTTTTACATGCCTAATTATTTCCATGTACCAACACAACGGTAATTCATTCTCTAACATGCATGAACTAGGGATGGACCGGGACCGGGACCGGGGTGGGCCGGGCTCCGGGCTTGGTGGGCTATGGGTCCAAAATATTCAGGCCCGATAATGGCCCGGGTTAAATTAGTGCGTACCGGGACCGGGCTTGGACGGGCTCCATTTTTTTTGGGTCTTTTCGAATTAATTCCAACCTCCCACCCCCCACCCCCACCCCCAAACCGCCCAGCCCCACCCATCTAGCAGACAGCCCAATGCAAAAAAAAATTTAAAAAAAAATTATTGGGCCTAGACCAGACCGGGCCGGGCCGGGCCACCTTTTATGAAGCCCGTAGCCCGCCTTTTAACCCCTCGGTTCGGGCCTCAGTCCTGGTTCACTGGGCCCGGGTCACGTGTAGGGCCGACCCGTCTCAGTCCATCCCTAACATGAAGTATTACTTATTATTATTAGTATTCTGTACCAACAGATACCTAAACTAGAATTCCAGAATTATGCACGTGTTTCAAATATTCAAATTAAAGGGATGGGATGTTTAGTTTTTACCAATACAATGGTGGCAGTCTAGACAACAAAAGTTTGAATTATTAATTATATGACTCACTCTTTTATCTATTCTTTATTCCAAAAAGCTAAGTGAAAAAGTATGATTGACTTGGTTTTTTTTCACTCTAGAGGTCTGGGGAGGGGGTCTGGGGGAGCCTGGAGTAATCAGGGCTGAAACTCACTCCATTGAGTTTCAAACTCTTGGGCCTTGTGTGCCTAGCGGGATTCGGACTCGAGACCTCTCACCAGACACAGTAACCTCGTAACCAACTAGGTTGGAGTGCTTGGTTAAGTCTCATTGACTTGGGATACCAACTAGTTTAGTTAAAAGTTGGAGTAAATGGGTACGTAAATAACCATCCCTGCTAATAACCATCTTGATAGCCGTTATATTTACTTGTGTTTAACATAAGTATTTATAAGTATTTGTTGAAGAAAGGAAGAGAAATCGGGCAAATACCTCCAAAATGAGAGCTAGAGCATAAAACATTGCGATGAACGACTTTTTAGACCAAGAGAATGACGTTCTGCCCATAATTTGAGTATAACGTATTCTATAGAACTCGAAATCACTCGATTCGAGTTTCATGTGAATTCTAACTCAATAAGGTACAAATGTTATGAAGATGTCATGGCCAAAATATGAAAGGAACAAGACTCAATCAACCAACAAAGTCAGATGTTGCTGGTGGGATTTCAGGATGCATACCTCTCAGTGTTTTAGCCATAACGTTTGATTGGATGAATAAAATCACGTCATTCAAGTTTTGGTGGATAGAAGACTTCATTATCTACAACTTTGGTGAAGGACTCATGTCCAAATTCGTAGCGGAACATCCCCAAAATCCCAGGACAAAACCGGCGCCGGAATTTCACCAAACCAGCGCCGGTTGCATTTAATCCGCCATTTTCCCGGCTGACCGACGTATAACCGGCGCCGGTTTTACCCTATAACCGGCGCCGGTTATGGTATTTTTCACTATTATTCCATCCCCGAAGTAAAACCGGCGCCGGTCAAGCCTAAAACCGGCGCCGGTTAAGCCCGAATCTGCAGAATACAAAGAGACGTGCAGCCATATCTTGATGGGAAAAACTTACCTTCCTCATGATCTGATCAAATATATCTTCCATGCCTGATTGTTGGGCTCAAATAGACTAAAAGATGCCAATCTTTAGCCTATATAAAGCCCCCAATTCATCAAACAAGATCATCATTCCATTCCATAGATTAAATCATAGCTTTTATATTTTTGTTCTTGGTATTTTCTTCAAGTTCTTGAGGAGGAAACTTCAACCTCCGAAACCATTGGTGTTTAGGTATTATTTCCTTTGTAATTTCATGTTCCATTACATTTCAATATTGTATTGTGATTAATATGAGCATTAGAGGCTAATTTCTTAGCTAAGGCTAGGGATGAACTTCTATGCCCACTAGGTGTTTGATAAAAGTTCTAAACCAATAAATTGTGATTTATCCTTTACATTTTGATTGTTTATGACTATGGTGTACAACATAGAAGTATGTTAAACTTAGTTTATGCTTGCAATTAACGTTGAGGTCTAAACTATGAACATTAAAGGATAAACATATATATTACCGAGAATAGAAATATATCCGGTATTATATGATACGGGTGTGATGTCTTGATATTCAACGGGGTTTTCGGTAGATGAATGTAAGCCGTAACGGGACTTACACGTAACGAAAACCACGCTCTCGCTGCCTTAACCGGAGTTGAGAATATATTAGCGACATCGTATTCATAATTTTTGGTAAAGAACTAATATTCAACCCTATTAAAGCATTTAAGTGATTCCCGAAGCCTTAGTTGTTGTTGTCAATCACTTTAATCAAATTAATTTTAGTTATATCTCTGAAAATTAAAAAGAAGAATCGAGTTGTTATTTTCACAACAACACACAACTCAAAATCCCTGCACTTTACTCATTTATTTATTTAAAGTCATCTACTCTCGGACTAAATTAAACAACGTTTCCCTGTGGATTCGACCCGGTATTTTACCGGAATTTA